GTGATGAACTTGATAACTCACTAAGAGAAGACTGTGGAGAATCCCCTCTTCCCTTTAGGACTTTAAGTAACATTATTCACGTGGTATCTTGTCACTCCCCTTCACCAAGGGTGACTTGGAAGAGCTCTGGAAGTCAGACTTTAACGAGTAGCCTTGGGTTATACAGTCTTATTTTCCTCTAAAACACGACAAAAAGTGGGTGTGCTGAGCATATGGGAGGCAGGGGAAGAAGAAGATACACTGCGATAGGGCTTTTGCCCGTGTTTGCCGGGAGTGAAGTAGAAACCCAGAGCTGCTCCACGTGCCTGTGGCCCGGGCACCGTGTGCAGCAGGCATCATCCGGGTCCTCTGGTCCTCTGGGGGCAGCTATCCTCTCATGCAGGTGAAAACGAGCCTCAGCCTCCATTGAGCCAGCACCATGCGGATGCTTTTCACATGATAAGGATCTCAGAAAGATGTTGAGCTTCTTCCCAAGTGGGGGCAGGACTGGCCACGAAGGTAGATGGGGGTTCTTAAGAGAGAAGGAGAGCATTGCTTTCCAAGCGGGGACTCCTTGTAACGAAACCGGGATGGGAGCAGCACTGGACCGAATTGTGTGACTTTAGCAGGTTCTTTATCCTCCACAAGTCTTCGTTTTTCATGTGTAAAATAGCAACAAGCATCCCCACCCAGTCAGACATTCTGTAAGGACCAAAGGTGATAAAGTGGGCAGAGACTCAGAGCAGTGCCTGGCATGGAGAATATGTGCAATAGCTGTTGTGGGTGAACTCATGCAAAATAACAACCACTGACCATCTTGTCTATCCAGATGTGACTCGTGAAGGAAGGAAGGAGACTGAATGCAGCCTGAGGTTGGGGGGCACGGTCCAGTACTCAAGGGGAGTCCTCTCTAGGGGGTTACCTTGGTTCTCCAGCTGGGACTGACTCAGGTAAGTTGTCCTTACCTCATCTCAGCAGCCCTGGAGAGGAAGCCTCAGGCAGTGAAAATCAAGGAGGAAGAGGAAAACCAGAATTTCTCTCTCTCTGTTTGAAAGGCCTGTTTCCGGAGCCTCCTCTGGGTGAAGGGGAGATCTGAGCTTTTCCTGTTGGGTGGAGATTCCCAGGCCCTGGTCTTGACTCCAATGCTGGGTTGTTTATTTAGGTTAAAATGTATTCGTTGTTCCTTTTAATGCATTCCTTACCTTAAGTGCTTATTAACTTTCTAGGGAAATCTTATGGATTTGTTTAAAGATGATTTCAAAGTATTTTGAGTTCTTTTAAAGTATGCTTTTTGTTGTGTTTTAGAGGACAATAAGATTGTGTAACCCAAGGCTACTTGTTAGAGTTTAGTGAATATTAATGGGATAATACAAAAGTGAAGATCAAAGCCATCCAGTTTATAGTTTAGTTAGTGACTAGTCCATCTATGTGGACATTCTGTAGTTATCTGAGAAGAGGGAAAAGTCGCTGCTCAGAACCCCAGGAACTGCAAAGGAAGCTGACTTCATCGGTCCTCTGCAGCCTAGGTCATAAGGACACGGACCCCAGTCTGGGGCTGTCTAGCCACCACTGCCTGTTAGGTGGCTGATCAGCGTGGTCTTCCAGCTCTATCTCTGCAACTGTTCTGGGAAATTTTACATATTGTGTTTAAAATCAAAGCACACGACGTCTCCCCAGCTCTGCTGCAGGGCCTTTCCGCTGGCCTGGAGTAGATAACATCCATTTGCATAGTCTGTGATGAAAGGGTTTGTTAAGCAAAATACCAATGTAAACAAGACTTCAGAGAGGATGTTTCCAGTGCAAACACTTGGAAGCACTCACGAGTCAAGTGCAAATGGCTTACAAACTACAGATGTCTCAGCTGGGGAGTGTGTGCTGGCGGATGTCTACATGCTTGCATTTCTATGTTTGCAATCCTTCCAGGTAATCCTATTATGATCCTCATTTAACAGAAGAAGAAACTAGGGATCAGAGTGATTCAGTAGATCTTCTAAGGTCACATAGCCAGAAAACAGCAAAACCGTGCCATGTTTTTAGCAGCAAAGACAGTCTCAAGAAACGGGTATCTGACGCGTAAACAGTGAGAGCATGTCTGAGGCTGCAGGTAAGAGTGTATCCAACTGAAGTGACTGACACCTTAAGGAGAAGTCCACAGAGGAGCATTTTCCAGGGTTTGTTCTGTTGTTCGACAATGTCTAGGTGGCTGTCCTTATGATCCTAGGGGTAGTTTCGAACATTCCCTCACAGGACAATGTTGAAAGGCGGGAAGGAAGGCTGGCAACGAGCACCCTCCTTGTGTGTCTCTCATTTTTTATTCAGAGAGAAAAATCTCTCCCAGAAGTTTTCCTTGGAAGGTGTTTTTTCCCCAAACCAGGCTGGTCACAGGCCCTTGCCCAGCTGCAGTGGAGACGGACAAGTGTCGGGGACTGATGGGCTCAGCGATGGAAGGAGACGCTGCTGTCAGAGCAAGTGTGGAAGGATGGTTTTCCTAATCCAGCAGCCTGAACTCCCCGAGAACAGGGAGCTGTGAGGTCCCCTTCTGGGAAGGTGTCTGGGAAGGTTCTCGGCTTTGAGAACCCCTAAAGACTACAGGTCTAGAATAAGCTGTAAAACTGGGCAGGATGCCTTTGCATTCTTTTAGTGACTATTTGATTATTATAACTTATTTTTAAACAAATAAATGATGAACTGTTGGAACACTGAACCAAATGGTGAAAAAAATTTTAAAACACCTTCCATCCGGTAAGAAGGTAAGCGTAAATAATCGCTGGTGGCAACAATGGCTAGCATGGACCACAGGTTGTACTAAGAGCTTTGCCTATGTCACTCTCATTCATCTTCATCACAATGAGCAGAATCCCCATTTTATTTTATTTTCTTGAGACAAGGGTCTCACTCTCTCACCCAGACTGGAGTGCGGTGGCACAATCTCGACTCACCACAACCTCCACCTCCCAGGCTCAAGCAAGAATCCCCATGTTATAGCTGAGAAGGCTGAGGCTTCAAGAGGGCATTTTGCCAATGACCCTGCGGCTAATTCATCACACAGCCAACCCTGAAGCGCAGCACCCTGTGACTCCCCTCCTGCGCTGCCTCTGGGTTGGTGGGTTAGGTTCCCTTCCCTGTTTGCTCTGATGAGAGAGGCCCTTTATCTGAGTATGACAAAGCAATCACTACTCCCCAGTCCCCTCAATAGTCCCTGGGGCTCTGTCCTTCTGGTCTCTTTCCTAACCAGCTCCCGAGTCCTGGGCATTCCATCCTTTTTTGAGCTCTGCTTTGTTCCCTGCTGGTCAGCTCTCTACTTCCTTGTCCCCTGAAGGGCCACCCGCAGTACCACCCTGCACAGCGTGTTCTGAAGGTCTGAGGTGGTGGAGGACCATGGTTCTTACTGAATCTCTGTTTGAGCCTCCTTTAGACCGTCACGTTGGTTTTCCACTCCTTTGCAAGATAAAGTAGACGTGGAAGTTTTGGAATCGCAATTCCTCCTGATGGAATCATATTCTCAGATATTTTCTTCCCTAACCAGCCTTTATAACCAGAAATACAACAGTGGGAAGATTCCTCTGTTGTCCAAAGCCAGTCTCTAGGGTTGTGGGCTGGTCTTTTTGTTCCTGTTATCTCTTGCACCTCATGGAGAAAATGAACAGCCCAGGAACCTGGGCACAAAGATACCATTCAACCTTGAAATTCATCTCCACTCTGTACTGCCTGGGACGTCTTCTCCACTGGCGTGAATACCTAGTATTTATTGTTTATCTCATTATGTAACATTTCATATGTAGTGGAGGCTCCAGATTGAGCAGAAGCTGGGGTTACAGATGTGTCTGGGCATCTGATGAACTCACTGCGGCAAGCTCAGAGTCATTGTAGATTTGCATGGTCTTTATTTAGGAAAAGAGGACTGCAGGAGCATGAAGTGGTGAGCTCAGCCAGTGATGTTTGTCCTGGAGACAGGTCCCCTGGCCCTGCACCAGGAGTGTGAGTCTGAGCCTCTCACTGGAGAGTGAGGCTTCAGGCACAACTGAAGGAGCAAGAGTCTGAGAGTCTTGAAGGCACGAGAAGCCCTCTAGGGTAGCCAAACATGACCCAAGGTGAGGGAAAGGACCATTCTCGTTTCCACATGGGGCACAGTACAGTTTTAGTGAATGCAATGTGCACAGTAGGTACTCAATGATTATGCACTCATTGGGAAGGAGAGAGGTAGAAAAGGAAAGAAGGAAGAACACTTGAGGAATATAGAGGTCTGAGCATCACCTCAAGGAAATGCAGCTTTGAGAGTCCCAGGACACTCCACCCAAGTGACACCCTTCTCAACTGTCATGCTGATCCAGGCCATGAAGGCCCTCGAGAAGTCCTGGGACAGCATTCATGAGCAAAGCGCGTCTAAGAAGAATGTGGAGAATACCAGGTAGTGAAGACTGTCATTTCACAGAAACACCCCCCAACCTCACAGGAAGAAAAAAGTGAGGCTTCGTGGGTCCAGAGTGGGTGGAAGCAGGCTGTGGAACATGATTGTTGCGCTGTGAAGAGCACAGGGTGTCTGGCTGTGGGGCGATGGGCTCAAAATCCACCCTGCTATCTGCTTGTGAAGCTTCAGCTGGGCACCGCTGCAGTCACTAAAGGGGTTGGCTTATTCTAAATGCACATGGGTGCCACATGGACTAGCAGTGGTTTCCACAAGAGCAGTGATTTTGATTCCGTTTGTACCTAGAGGCTGAGAAGCCCCCGAGGAGACTTCGACTACGTGCTGTGCAGGGACAATTGTCTTCCTTGTGGCAACTTTTCAGTAATCATTTATTGATCAATTCATCACTATTGCTTACTTTGGTCTTATGAAACTGATAGAGATACAGTTGTATTTCTACCTGCATAGTTGGTTGTAAACTTTCAACCTTGATTGTAAACTGAAGGCATAGAGATGTGGGGCTAAGAGGCAAGAATACGTGGCCTGGGTTGGAATCATACCTCTGTCTTTGGAAAAGTGATTGAAACTCTATGTGCTTCTGCTTCTTACTTTGCAGGATTCTCATGAGGATTAAATGGGCTGGCATTCATAAGGCTCCTAGGACCTGCTTGGTGCTTGAACAGAAGTCAAATGTGCTAATTCGTGGTTTACATGGAATACCTCCATTCCTGCCTCTACTTCTGTCTCCACCTGCTGCCACTGGAAGGGTTGCTTGGAGCTTTGTGATAATCTTTACCTTCAGCCAGGGAGAAAGGAGAAGGCTGCCCAAGGCAGGGAATGCTTGGGGGAGCATCCTGCAGGAATGCGCTCTGTGGACCTTGCTCAGTTCAGACCAACAGGTGTTCATTGCATTCCAGGCCTGTTTGATTCCAGGAATGCACAGGTGAGTATTTCGTGGTTCCTTCTTCATTTCCTCCTGTGTAGATTCATGTGCATTTTCGGATATCCTTGACAATGGAAATACTTCTGAGTACTTTGCAGGCATATCACGAGGTGGGCTTGCTTCAATCAGACTCCTTTCCCTATAACAGGACTGCATGGAGGCGTGGGGACTGTTAACAGGGCGGCGTGGCGGCGTGGGGGATTCTGGGAGGACAGCAGACAGGGCGGCATGGAGGCGTGGGGGATTCTGGGAGGACAGCAGACAGGGCGACGTGGGGACGTGGGGGATTCTGGGAGGACAGCAGACAGGGCGGCGCAGCGGCGTGGGGGATTCTGGGAGGACAGACGGGGGGCGTGGCGGCGTGGGGGATTCTGGGAGGACAGCAGACATACTCATTTTGGAAGTGGGGACATTTGAGGGTCTCAACAAAAATGAGCAACACCAGGAGAGAGGGCTTTGGTAAAGGGCACAGAAGACTGGCGAAATCAAATCACCTCCTTTCCAAAGCTCACGCAGGGTCCACCCTGAGCAGTGCATGGAAGGAGGAGACACTCTTTCTCTTCTTGCTCTCACTTTCTAATGGTGATTCCATGTTCTTGGGACCCAGAATTCTTCATAAAACAATCTACCTACTTTATGGATTCAATACTCTTTTGGTGTATAGCCTAAGAAAATGACTCTCAGTCATTCACTGCAGCCTCTTGAGGGAGCTCCAGCCCCCAGTGTCCTTCCCCTACCTGGCACCCCTCTACCCTATCCCTCTCCAGACTGTCCTGTGTCAAGACCAAGGAGTCTCCTGGCTGGGGTGCTGGTGGGGAAAGGCAAGTGGTTAGGGGCTCTTGGGTCCTCAGGGCTATGCTCGTTGACATCACCCTCTTTCAGGGAGTCGGGGGTGGGAGGAGGGATTGTGCTTTTTTAGCTCTTGGCCCTTTTATCGTGCATTAGTCCATTCTTCATTGCTATAAAGGAAATACCTGAGGCTGGGTAATTTATAAAGGAAAGAGGTTTATTTGTCTCACGGTCTGCAGGCTGTGCAAGCATGGCACCAGCATCTGCTTCTGGGGAGGCCTCAGGAAGCTTTCACTCATGGTAGAAGGTAAAGGAGGAGCAGGTGTGTTGTGTCACACGGTGAGAGGGGGAGCAAGAGAGCTCTCAGGCTCTTTTAAACCATCAACGCTTGCGGGAGTGAATAGAGTGAGAACTCACTCATTCCTGTGGGGAGGGCACCAAGCCACTCATGAGGTACCCACCCCTGTGCCCCAAACACCTTCCAGCAGGGCCCACCTCCAACGCTGGGATCACGTTACAACATGAGATTTGGAGGGGACAAGCATCCAAAGTATATCATGTAGATATATTCTTTCCCACATAGTGTGAAAGGATGAGTTAGTGTGAGTGCGTGGGCCTGGGCTGCCTTCGATGTGAGGCGCTCCCTCCAGCTCTGCTCTAGATCTGAGGGACAAATAAATGTGTGTCTTCCCTTTGCGCCTCTTTTCTGAAGAGAAATGAGCTCTGTTAGGGGCTGAATTGCATCCCTCACGTCTCCCATCCGAATTCGTATGCTACAGTCCCAATCCCCAGTACCTCAAAATGTGGCCTTATTTGGAGATAGGACCTTTAACGAGGCAATTAGGTTAAAATTGGGGCAGTATGTTGGGTCCTATTCCAATCTGACTGGAGTCTTCATAAGAAAAGGACATTTGGACACACACAGATATACCAGGCCTGCTCACACAGAGGAAAGGCCATGTGGAGACCCAGCAAAAAGGATGAGGGAGGCCCCAGGGGAACCCACATCTCCTGACACCTTGATCCTAGACTTCTTGACTACAGAACTGTGGGACTATACATGTCTGTTTAAGCACCCCAGGCCATGGGACATTGTCATGATGGCCTGAGCAGACAAATACAAGCACCATCCACACTCCCTGCTCCACTAAAGACCAGGACCAGTGCGTGGGGTGAGAGGAAACAGACAGAAGTAAATCAGTTCCCAGTCCAGGCTCCGGCTCATTAGGTAGAGCCCCTGTGGCCCACGTATTGTCCCCATCTAAATCAGCCAGCTCAGGGGCTGGACATGTGTGTAACAGACAGGGTGCATCTGTCCTTGCTATCTTCCTTGCCCTCCACCCCAGAGAGGGAGAACCTGTGGCTGCTTTGGATGAGTGTCTGGTCAAGGACTAGGATTTGGACAAATATCTTTCTATCTCATCAAACAGTTAACACTAATTGTCACTTACAACTTCACTGTCATGGGAAAATATGTTCTAAACTACCAACAAGAATTTACACATGTTATTTTTAGATTGCAACTGCACTAGCAATATTTGTAGATGTCTTATCAACATTCAAATTATATACACTTTTTCTTTTTTTTTTTGAGACAGAGTCTCACTCTGTCGCCCAGGCTGGAGTGCAGTGGCGTGATCTCGGCTCACTGCAAGCTCCGCCTCCCAGGTTCACGCCATTCTCCTGCCTCAGCCTCCGAGTAGCTGGGACTACAGGCGCCCGCCACCTCGCCCGGCTAGTTTTTTGTATTTTTAGTAGAGACGGGGTTTCACCATGTTAGCCAGGATGGTCTCGATCTCCTGACCTCGTGATCCGCCCGTCTCGGCCTCCCAGAGTGCTGGGGTTACAGGCATGAGCCACTGTGCCTGGCCTGTGTACACTTTTTTTTAACCGACATATTGTATAGTTCAATCTTTGCCCTAATTTAGGCCTATCTTTCTGTAATTAGTTCTAATTGCTGTACTTGTCAGGTTGAGTGAATGGTTTCAGAGGGTTTTTCATGGATAAGATATAGGCTGAAGAGGTCCTTTTTATGGTACTGTAATTGTCTAACAAACAAAACTGATGGAAAATTTTAGCATTTGGTGTTTGAGATGCCGTCTTCTATTTGTAGAAAATACTCACTTTGAGACATTGAAATGCTAGGTGTGGACAATGTTCTGCTTAATGAATTGCCGTGAAATATTTTTTTCTTTTGCAGCAGCGCTCAGTACCTTATAAAAGGGAATGATGCACTAACTATGCATTCTTTAAAAGTGCGTTAAACAAGTTCCACAAACATTATTTAAAGGCATTGTCTCAAACGACGTAGGTGAATACTTCAACCAGCTCATAGCTAGCAAATCCTTCATGAGGTTTTATAAAAATGATTTTAAAAACATTCTTTGAAAGCTCACTCTGCTCCTAGCACTGAGCTAGGATGAATGAAGCTTGGTGCTTGCCCTTAAGGAACCTACAATTTAGTAGATCTGATTCATAGTCACTAAAGAAATTCTCCTTAATGCTCATTATTTCTAGAAATGAAAGGAGATAATCATGTAATAAAATGCTAGGCCAAATGCTAGGCCTATAATCTAGTGTTCCATAAAAGTTAGCTATTATTGTCATTGTTATAAAAAAAAGAGTCAAAGATATACAATGGTATACTTTTTTGTCTTTTGTCTTGTTTTATCCATTAGTCACTTTCAGGATGATGCCTGTAAAAGTAATGTTAATGATGACAGAGTCTATAATGCTTTCCCAAGTGTTTGGTGACTACAGTGTCACCTTTTCTACTGAGGGATAAAAATAAACAGTTGCTTCCCGTGGGTAACAGCATGCTGATCTTCAAGCATTTTGCAATTCAGATGTTCTGTTTCACTCTCTTTAACAGCTCGGAGAAGATTTTCATCTTTTCTGGTTGTAGGACCCAGATTTGAAGGTATTCCATGCCCCTTTCCCCCCATCTTCTTGCCAGCATCAGCTAAGTTATCCACTGATACAGGAGCGAGGCCTCAGGATTCAAGACTTTTGAACGTTGTTTCCCTTATATTTTTTCACCTGAGGGTAATGCATTTACCGGGAAAAATAAACAATTGTAGCTCAAGGCTGAGGCCCAGATGAAGTGCGGGATGCCTGGCAAGAGTGTGGCCACATGTGCACGTGCCCTCTCTGTGCTGCTTTGGTGGGGAGGGCAGCTCACAGGGCTCACAGGAAAGGAAGCAAGCCTGTTAGAGGTGGCTGCATTGTAAGAATAAATTCCATCTGACTTACAAAGTCCTCGAAGCAGCTCCCTGGGACTCTGGCAGCTCACTGATGCAGCTCATGGACAGGGCGTGGCCTTGTGCCTGGCTTCTGATGTGCCCTCGCTGTAATCCCACCTCCACCGTGATCTTGCCACACTGGGCGGCCTCTCCCTGCTGGCTCCTCTGCTTTCCTCTGCTGGGACTTCTCACGGCTGCACCACGTTAGGGTGGCCACATGGGATGCATTTTCCACACAGATGGGGCCGTGACTGAGGGCGGATGGGCCTCCTGAAGGTAGATCCATCCTGACTGCAGTGGACACAGGGCCCCTGAGAAACTCAGTTGCTGAAAAGTGTCGTTTTCCAAACAGCTTGCCTAGGTAAGCCCTGTCATGGAGTCAAAGATGCTGCTTGCCTTTGTCTTTAGCATGGAAACTCCTTAATTAAATATGTAAATATGGCTTTCAAAAAATTCTATAGGAGGAGGGATTTTTTTATCCTTTTTTTTTGAGACAGAGTCTTGCTGTGTCACCCAGGCTGGAGTGCAGTGGCTCAATGTCGGCTCACTGCAGTTTCTGCCTCTCAGGTTCAAGCCATTCTCCTGCTTCAGCCTACTCAGTAGTGAGTAGCTGGGATTACAGGCGCCCACCACCACGACCGGCTAATTTTTGTATTTTTAGTGGAGACAGGGTTTCACCATGTTGGCCAGGCTGGTCTTGAACACCCGACCTGAGGTGATCCACCCACCTCAACTTCCCAAAGTGTTGGGATTACAGATGTGAGCCACCATGCCCAGCCTTTTATCTCTTATACAGGGGAAGGATCCGTTTATTTAACAAGGGACACAGACCAGATCTCACCGTGTGGCTCACAGGGAGGTGAGGACAGACACGTGGAAGGACAGAATTTCACAGGAAGGATCTTTCAGAAAACCTTAACCAGATAGAAAGACAAATCTGGAGGTGTTCAGGCCTCATCCATACATGGGCAGGCGGAGCTGGCTGCGGGTACAGTGGGGAGCAGAAAAATGGACTTGCAGTAGGAAACCCCCTTGGGCTGGGGGCAGGAGGCCTGGTCCCGGTCTAAGGACTGCGGAGTTAGGAGTAGCCTGGGTAAAATAGAGAGGGTGGGCGGACCTCCAGGGTCTCCAGGTTGTCGTCTCCTCAGGAAGCCCCCGCTGCTGGTCACTGTCTGGGCTGTCTCCTCTTGAGGCTCCGCACACGTGTCCTTCTTGAAGTCATTGTGGGTGGTCACCGTGACGGTCTGCTGGGGCTTCCCCTGTGCCTCCAGGGTCTCATTACCAAAAGGTAGCACAGCTCTGGCACAGAATAGACGCTCAGCAAATATTCGTGAGGGTGATGGAGGGGAGCACAGGAAAAGAGGGGGAAGATGGAAAAAGGAGGAGGGGAGAGAAAGGAGTGAAAAGCAATAGAAGAAAGGAGAGATGTAAGAGAGGACGTGAGGAGAGGATGGAGGGATGGGGGAGGAAGGAAGCGGGAAGGGACGGAGTAGGAGGGAGGGAAGTAAGGGAGCTCACTATTGCACCCTGCAAAACTCTTCTCTATTGTAAAACCAATGTCAGAATCGGAGAAAGTCGATCATTTGTAAAATAATATATTTGTAACTGGTAAGAAAATGATGCAGTCTGAAAGTATGGTTTCGGATCAAGTAATCCCACAGTGAGTGTTATCACTTCATTACCCACGTATTATTTCATACTTAGATAAAAATTACATGTGTGTTCTAATGTCATCTTTATCCTATTTATACTTGTGAATCTATGGAAAGTTGGCTGTTGAGGGTCGTACTACTAGAATGGATTAGGGCAAATCTTAATTTAAGCAGTCCCAATTTTGAGTTGGTGTACAAGATAGAAAACAAGCTATCTGAATAGTACTGTCTTTGGAGTGTTACAGTTAAGCACTGACTGCAGTGGCACAGTTTGCCTCCCATCGGCCCACTTCCAGTGCTGGCCCCAGAGTCCTGGGGCCGCCCCTCTGTTGTTCTTTGTTGTTAGCGGTACGGTGCTGGGAGTATCTGAGAAGCTCGGAATCTTAAGAGGGTCATCAATATTCCCACTCCGATTTTTATCAGGGCCAATATTTGTCTCTGTACTATGTAGAACTTTACGAAGAGAAACGTAATATTTTACAAATTCTCTAGGTTGCTTTTTAAGAGCTCTTCAAATGCCTACCAAATGTTTAAAAATAAATGGTCTTTGCCACAGATGTTGCAAAATGATCATTGTAATTGGTCAAATGTGTTACAGGGTCTGCGGAAAAGGTCAATTTTTTGGGACATAAAGCTGCTGTTTGTATGTGGACTGATTTAAGCCATAGGAAGTCTATTTTCAGAAGCAGTTTTCTATGAGTAGCTTTGAGGAGGAAAGGGTTTGAGGTCTGGACAGTGCAAATGAGGAATTACTGAAGGGTAAGCGCTTTCCTGGGAAGCCCTTTTTACCCAGTCCAAGGAAACCAACATCTTTGCTGAGGATATGTGTTTTGTTCCCTGTGATTCCAATTCCCGGCCCTCCAGGAATCTCTTTGGCAGAACCCCCGGGGACCCAGTGGTGGGGGCGGGGTGAGAACTGGGGGGTGTCTGGTTCCATTTTATCCCCTGAATTCAGGCCCTTGGGCTACTGGAGAATGTTACTAACAATACTTTGTGTTTATGTAACAGTGAACAGCTTACAAGGTACTTTAATATATGTTAGAATCAGAAGTTTAGACCTGAAAGGAGTATCGGGAATCCTCTAATCTTAGGGATATAAGAATATCAAGGATCCTCATTGCCTTCATTTTGGTCCTTCCAATGACCCCCTCAAGGTAGGAAGGGCTGGCTATTTAGGTAATTCAGGGTATGTTTAAATTACAGATGAAGAAACGGAGACTTGGACAACGGGAGCATCTTGTCTGAGCCACATGACTGGTAAGCAACAAAACCAGGCCTTGAAGGCAGTTGCTCTGGCCCCAAAATCTTGCTGCCCACAGGCCGCCTCCCTGCCCGGAAATATTGCCACAGTCCCACCGGCTGTCTGCCCACCCTTAGGGCGGCTGCAGAACTTTCCCGCAAATTAAGGAAAATTTAACCACAGACAACTGGATGGAGGATTTTAACAAGAATTAATTACTGGGGCCTATTATTCGTAACACAAAAGGGCAATTTTCCCCGCATGGTTGAGGCAAGGATAGTGGATTTTGCAATAGGCTTTGGAGAAGGAAATTGCAGGTTTCGTCACTTGTCACCTTTGGCCCACTCTCTTGCCACCTGCTGACTTCAAGAAAAATTTGTCTGAAGATGAGGATTAATGTAATGGCCGATTCCATAACTTCTGTACGTTTTGGATGAAATTTGATCATTCTGCTTCACATTCCTTCTCCTCACCTGCTCGGGAAAGCAAATTGAATTCTTTGAAAGAAAATTCAGTCCAGACCAGAACACACACAGAACCAGCCCCTCTTAAAACGTAAGGGGCTCGTCTTAGTCACAAATACTTCTCTTCTGGTTTGTTTACATTGCACGGTTTATTCCATTAAGGTCCAATTTCAGGTACTCAGTGAAACCCAGATGGCTCGAGGCTGGCTGCCCTGAAGAATCTAACCACCCATAAGTCAACAATTTCTTAGACTAACTTCCTTAAGGATTCGCTTGGAGTTCCCTGGGAACTCTGCTGGCAGAGGGCTTACTAACCTCCAGAGCTGCAGGCTGTTCTTTCCCGAGTCAGCCCATCTGAGCCGGGCATCCATTTGCTAACCCAGCTTCCCAGCCGACGACGGGCTCTGTGCAGCCCAGAAGGAGGCTCATCCCTCCTTTAGGGCCTCCTTGAACCACTTCTTCCTGCTCCTGAGCTCCTGGTGCAGGCTGCAGCTGCTCGGTAGCTCGGCAAATAAAATATCATCCAAATCATGGTATCCCTTACCCCCACATTTTAAAAATAGCTGTTTGTCCCAGTTTTCTTCCCCTTAGGACTTTTAATATGTGTACAGTGCATAATTGACACTCTTTGCTGTATCAGGATTTGTAGCTAGAAGAGACTAATATATTTCATCTTGTAATTGCGCAAACTGAGGTGCAGAGAGGTTAAGTCACCTGTCTGAGGCCCCCAAACCAGGGAATGCTGAAGCTGAGAGGGCAATGCCGATGTGACCTAGAGCTCAGGACCATCTGTGCCCTCCAGACACGGCCTCAGGCCCTCCTTCCTGTGAGGTCAAATTCCAGTTTCTCTCCTCCATGACTCCGGCCTACTGGAATCTGTCCCCTTTTGAACTGTTTTGCACTTAAAGTTCAGGCCATACAAACGAACACTGAGGAGTTCTTGTGTGGTTTGAGGACACTGGTTTTCTCCTCCCAATGAATCTATAAGGTCTGTGGGGATTACATCCCTCACTTCTTCTGTGTTCAGGGAAAAGCAGACTAAAGCTATATACACATCTAGTAAATGCGGACTGGTGGATTGTTGATGTATGACCATGGGTGTCTTGGCTGCCACTCCCAGCTTAACTCCAGTGGGATAACGGTGTGTTCTGTTGAACCTGGTGGATGTGGCATCTTCTGTGGTCTGCGTGTCGGCAATCCCAATCTGTCTCCTCTGGATTACTCTCCGCACTCAGCTGCCATCCCTTTCTCCACCGCTTTCCATAATCGAGTGCTCCAGGGCCTCCTGGCTGGCTTCATGCTTCCTTGCTCCATTCATTCTGTCTGAAGAACTCTTCTCTTCATACTTGTCCTTTACAGGATGACTCAATGTCACCACCTATGTAGGAAAATAGCATAATCTGCTCTTCACCCCACAGTGCTGTGCGTCTCTGGGTCTAGAGCTTGCCTGCTTGTGTTTGGGTTGTTTGTACATCTCCCTCTCCACCAAGCCTGGCTGCCCCTAGAGAGACAGGACCTGTCTGCTGTATCTTTGCACCTGCCTTGCCTCAGGGCCTGGCACGGAGCTCTGAACTGAAGTGCTTCAAAATATTTGTTGAAGGACTGACTTGGCATGCATTGTCAGACAAGGTAGCGGAAAGACAATGCGCAGAGGTGTTGGCTAAGACTTCCTAACTGCGCCATAGCATGCTCTAAGCACTCACTGTCTGCAGACCATGGAACCTTGAGGAGCATGAGAAGTTTTCTTTTTTTTTTTTTTTTTTGAGACAGAGTCTCACTCTGTCGCCCAGGCTGGAGTGCCATGGTGCATTCTCAGCTCACTGCAGCCTCTGCCTCCCGAGTTCAAGCAATTCTCCTGCCTCAGCCTCCTCCTCAGCACTCCTTACAGGTGTGCACCACCACACCCAGCTAATTTTTGTATTTTTAGTAGAGACGGGATTTCACCATGTTCGTCAGGCTGGTCTTCAACTCCTGACCTCATGATCCGCCCGCCTCGGCCACCAAAAGTGCTGGGATTACAGGTGTGAGCCGGCCAAGAAGTTTTCTAAACTTCTGGAAGGTCCAGGCCCCGTCCTTAGTAAAACTTTTCACCTACTGGGAAAACCTGAGTGTGGAGGCGAATTTATCGTGATGCTAATGGAACTTACACTTTAGGAACTCACTTGCTCAGACCCCTTCTAACATCTTATACTAAATTTTGGACTTGCAATTTTGTTTTCTTTTCCTTAAAAGAAAGCTTATAAAATGTAGACCTTCAGACCTGCACACTGGCATCCGCTCCTGGCCTCGGGATGCCTTTTGGATCTGCCTCGGCAGAGGCACAGGCACACATGAGTCACTCTTGAGAGCTGAAGGCATGGGCTGGACAGTTCCAGAGCAGTTAATTCAGAGGACCCCAGGATTCTTTAGTGGATGAGATCTATTGTCCTTCTAGCCCATTATTCTCTCTTTCACAGCTACACCAAAGAATGCTTTAGGAGAAAGAAGAGCACTTACCCTCAATAATATCTGCCTTAAAGACAGAATTACATATGAGAGGTGTCTTTAATTAAATAAATACACCATGCCCAGTGCTGCAGTTTGAATGTGTTCCCCAAAGTTCATGTGTTTGAAACTTAATTCCCAATGCAACAGGGTTGAGAGGTGGAACCTAATGGGAGGTGTTTAGGTCAGGAGGGCTCTGCCCTCATGAATAGATTTATGTTGTGATTGAGGGAGTGGGTTCATTATTGCAGGAGTGGGTTTGTTATAAAAGTGAGTTTGAGCCCCCTTTGTACTCTCTTGCTCTTGCCTTTTCTTGCCCAACCACCTCCCACCATAGGATGACATAGTAGAAAGCTCCTCGTCAGCAGATGCTGGTGCCATGCTCTTGGACTTCTCAGCCTCCAGGACTGTGAGCCAATAAATTCCTGTTCTGTATAAATTGCCCAGCCTCAGGTATTCTGTTACAGCAGCACCCATGAACTAAGATACATAGTGTGTTTAAGTCATGTTATATGCTTTTCAGAAATTGTTTATGTTTGTTACACCATTCAGTCTTTCCATGTGCCCTAGCAGGAGGATTGAGATAAGGGTCACCATCTGTGTTAGTGGATGAAGAAACTGAGTCTAATGTCAGTCACTCTTGGAAGGCCACAGAGCAACCCAAGTCAGAGTTGAGGTAGAACTTGAATCTTGTCTAACTTACAGTTTGTCTTCTTCATGAGCTTCAGAGAGAAAAAACATTATAAACCATGTATTGAGAAAAACACAGACTTTATTTTCCCCCAAAAAGTGTTCCATTGTCAGAAGCATGGAGGAGGGAGTGATCAGAGTAGAAAGGGTCAAGACAGGAAAGAGTGTGTGTGTGTGTGTAGGAAAGTGTAGGTGGTATGTGTGTATGTGGGGAAGACTGGGTGGTGTGTGCATATGTGTAGGGAACAGTGTGTGTGTGTAGGGAAGTGTGTTTCTGTGTAGGGAAGAGTGTGTGTGTGTGTATGTAGGGAAGAGTGTTTGTGTGTGTTTAGAGAATGTGTGGGGGGGAAGGGTGTGTTTGTGTGTGTAGGGAAGAGTGTGTGTCTGTAGGGAAGAGTGTGTGTGTACAGGAAAGAATATGTGTGTGTGTCGGGAAGAGTGTGTGTGTGTAGGGGAGACAGAGTGTGTGTATGTGTTGGGAAGAGTGTGTGTGTGTAGGGAAGAGTGTGTGTATGTGGGGAAGAGTGTGTGTGTGTAGAGAAGAGTGTGTGTGTGTGGAAGAGTGTGTAGGGAAGAGTGTGTGTGTGTAGGGGAGAGAGTGTGTGTGTGTAGGGAAGAGTGTGTGTGTGTAGGGAGAGTGTGTGTGTGTGGAAGAGTGTGTAGGGAAGAGTGTGTGTGTGTAGGGAAGAGTGTGTGTGTGTGGAAGAGTGTGTAGGGAAGAGTGTGTGTGTGTAGGGGAGAGAGTGTGTGTGTGTAGGGAAGAGTGTGTGTGTGTAGGGAAGAGTGTGTGTGTGTGGAAGAGTGTGTAGGGAAGAGTGTGTGTGTGTAGGGGAGCCCTACGACCCTACACTACACTCTTCCACCACACACACACAACTCTGCCCTACACACATACTCTTCCCTACACATACACTCCTTCCCCTAAACACACAACACCACTCCTTCCTACACACACACTCTTACCCTACACACAGCACATTATCTTTCCTATAACAGAACAGGCCACAGCACTCTTCCCTAAGCACAGCACAACCCACTCCTTCCTTAGGCACACACAAACTCCCTCTCCCTACCACAACACACAGCACTCTTCCCTACACAACACACACCCTTCCCTTACAACCCACAACTCTCTCCGCCCTAAGCACACGCAGCACACTCTTTCGCCCTAGCATACACACCCACATTTCTTCCCCTATACACCACCATACACTTCCCTACACCACACTCTCTCCTCCCTACACACACAACACCCTTCCCCTGGCAACACACACCTCTTACCACCACACACACTCTTCCTATCACACCACAGCATACACACACTCTTTCCTGCACAAACACACAACATATATTCCCTAGTAGAATAAAAAAAAAAAAAAAAAAAAAAAAAAAAAAAAAAAAAAAAAAAAAAAAAAAAAAAAAAAAAACAAAAAAAAAAAAAATACACACACATAACTCTTCCTAACACACACACTCTTCCTTAAAACCCACACACACATTTTCTCTCCTCTCTTTACACCACCACACTACTTCCCCTACCACACACACCAACAGTATTCTTCGCCGTAA